GGAAAAGCTCCAGGGCATCCACTGAGAATTGAGGGGAAGAATAGCCTGACCCTTAAAGGCTTAATCAGAGCCTCATGGGTCATTCGCAGCCATTATGAATAATGCATAACATAAAACCAGGGCTTGAGTTTGAATGCCCTTCTACACTGAAAATCTGTGTTGCTTACATGCTCTCCTTCTGGCAGATGCACTGGCCCTGCTAAGCACTTTCCCCACAGTCTGCTCTTTATCTTGACGAACAGCCCACCGCTTGACCTATTGCAAATGACCACCTGCAGACAATGGCCACTGCCTTCTGTCAAGACTCCCAACTTGATTATGTAATTAAACTGCCCCCTTATTCCATGTAAACCATGGGTCTTTCTTGACTGTATCTGAAGAGTCACACAGTACTGAGTTTGCTATAAGCCAGCTAGAGAACAGCATCATTCATGCACAGAGGGGCTCTATACCCCACAGCATTTGTGCTCTCAACCAATGTCACTATTGTACAATTCTGGTACAGAAACAGAGAAATAATCTGAATGTGACAGGCTGCCTTGACCCGTCATATCAAATGGTTAAGAAATGCTACAGCCTCATTCTTTTGCACTGCATGTGAAGTATAGGAAAGCCATGCATTAAGTCACATTAATTCTACTGACATGTGATGAAATAGATAATAATAACACTAACTGTATGTATTTTCCTGCTTTGTGAAATTGTTAATCCATCCGTCCATCCATCTTCTTTTGCTTATCCAGCTAATGCCTGCAGTTGAGCTACAGCAGGGGTGTCAAACTCAAATACACAGTGGGCCAAAATTCAAAACTGGAACAAGGTCGCAGGCTAACATTAATATTTATTGAAAAAAAAAATCTTCCTCCAGATTTAAGAATGAATCTCTTCTTATGGACTCAAACAAGTTTTGCTGAAAAACTGAATATGGAACAAGCAAAGCTTAATACAAAACAATATATATATTAGCTGTATAATACCAGTAAGCCAGCTCTAATAGTAATTTGGTATGGCTTCGAGGGCCAAATGTAATTAGGCTGCGGGCCAAATTTGGCCCGCGGGCCAGAGTTTGACACCTATGAGCTACAGTCTACCATAGCTGTCATAGGGGAGAGGTGGAGTGTATCCTGGACAGGTCTCCAAATCTAGTTGGATACAATACTGCAGGGGTGTCAAACTCAAATACACAGTGGGCCAAAATTCAAAACTGGAACAAAGTCGCGGGCTAACATTAATATTTATTGAAAAAAAATCTTCCTCTAGATATAAGAATGAATCTTTTCTTATGGACTCAAACAAGGTTTGCTGAAAAACTGAATATGGAACAAGCAAAGCTTAATACAAAACAATATATATATTAGCTGTATAATACCAGTAAGCCAGCTCTAATAGTAATTTGGTATGGCTTCGCGGGCCAAATGTAATTAGGCTGCAGGCCAAATTTGGCCCGCGGGCCAGAGTTTGTCACCTATGCAATACTGGATACAAATAAAAGTATCCCCAACAAAAACCATACATTTTATACAAAATATGCAGGGCCCCCTCAGAGGCCGCAGAGCCAGACAAATGCGTGCTGTATCTGCAACCCTCCAAGACTTTTTGGATTATCTAATTTCTCAGCAAACAGGTTTTCGTTTTTTGCAGTTACTGGGGAAAAAATATGTGACAATAATCCCAAATACGTAAATCTATGCAGCCTCTGAGATCATATACTTGCGTTCTAAAGCCATTTGAAGCAATACAGAGACTTGGATACTGCAAAACCACTCCACTCTAGGATCTCATCAGTGCTACTGATTCCTTCCCTGTATGCATACTACACAAAGAGTATTGGATGTCACTGTCCTATATGAGATGGATGACACAGAAATCCAAATTCATCCTTAGAAATGTTTATTTAGAGATGGAGATGATGCTATTGACAAACAGACATCAGTGTTAAATGGCAATGCTTTACCAGTGTTTGAAATAAACCATCACCCAAACAAACATGTAAATACAGTCAAAAATGACCAAAAACAAGAGCCACTTTAGAGCTATCTATCCAACTGAGTGCTAATAAATTGACCACAGAGTGCATGTCATCACTAACAACCTTGCCATACAGTCATCATGCAATTATTTAGAGGAGATCAAAGCAGACAAAAAGAAAACACTTGGGTGCAATCTTCATCCATTACTGTCAAGATGTTTCCTTCTCAGCTTTGGCTCTTTCTATCTTGCCTTTTTCTCCTTGGTAGTAATCTGATTCGATCCAATTTGGGTTATCGGAGAGCTTGACGTAGATCTCCCCGTTGTTCTCTGTGACTGTGTGCGTTCTCTGCTTCACACCCTTGGAGTACCATCTGGGCACAGGTGGCTTTTCCTTGGGGTTGTTGCCTTTGTATAAGCACTCCCCTTTGGCTAGAGTGAGCTTGTACTTATGCTTCGGACAAATTATGCACAGCTTGCCATTAATTTCCTGCATGTGGACAAAAGGCAGATAAATGACCTTGTGTGTATGTCATTTTAGGTTTCTTTGCACTATAAAATAATAATACAATATCCTCACAGCCTTAGCCCAGCATTTGCCTTTAGTCATTATTGTGCAGATACAAGAATATGTTAAATCAGGAATGAGATAATAACTTAAGACAAGGCAAAGAAAGTTTATTTATATATCACCCTTAAATGCTATAGTCATTCAAGGTGGTTTAAAGGGGGAGGGAAAAAAGAAATAATAACTATAATAATACAGATACCAGATTACTTAAAAGCAGTAGTGATTAATAACATTTCTTAAAAACAGCCAAAGTTAGAGAAGATCAGTTGAGATGGTTGAGATGAGGCACTATTTGTTCAAGGCTTTTGTAGTGAATGGCAGTAAATTCAGATATGAAAACTGTGTTAAGTATTCATGTGTTTAGTTAAATTACTGCTTGAGTGATTGTAGAAGATATTTGCTCTGATATTTTGGAATGTTGTCTTGATCTAACCCTCGTAATTTAAACCTGAAACTCACCTCAATGTCGCCGTTGTTCAGCATTCCTCCAGCATCTGCCGAAATGACGGGGTATCAGTGTATCATAAAATAAACAAACACACTAACAGTTTGCTAAAAAGGACACACTTTCCAGATGACATGTGCTAAAATGTTCAATAATTTATTAAATAATGAAGCCCAGTGTTAAAGGTCCCAGTGTATTTCCTCTCTCTGCAGTGACCACTATGAGTTTTTCACTAGAAAAATTGCACTTACGGTAACAGTAAGAATCCATAGCATAGAAGACTCCCTGGTGGTAGATAATCAGTATATCCCGATCTTCTATTGATCTGAAAGACTGCTTTGCTTCAATAAGTTCATCCTTCTTGCCCACGAAATGGAGGCCTCTTGCTGACTGCTCGTTCTCCTCCATGTGGCTGCCAAATGCTGCTTTGAGGTCAAGAAGGTCATATCATCAGTTCTCAAGGTTGTGTGTATTTGTCCCTCCATCATTCTCATATGTGGCCCAAAGTGACTATGGTGTATTTTAGGGTAAAAACTTAACTGAATCCACACACGTAAAAAAGGTGTGGGCTTTGGATTTGTCCCTGGGATTATTGTGTTGGCACCTCACCTCACAGTTGTCAGCTTAAATTAAGTCCAGAACAACTCAAGAACACTCATGTAAGAACATTTCTTGGCACTGATCAGCTCTGCTCCAAACACACCAAGGCCCTGAGCTTTAAGCCCTATTATCTGTCTCATGATTATTTGGTATCCATCGTAGTATAGAAAATAAAGCTGCTGTGCTAAACACAAGAGAACAGTGATTTCGCTAAATGACCTACATGAATTGGCACAAACTGAATGGGAAATACAAAAACAAAAAAACTGACAGAGATTCAGCTGTCATCATTCAACACAAGAATGGGTTATCCAAAGATCAGAGTGCTACATCATCTCCACGTCTGATCTCCTTGTAGGCAGCATATACCAAAAATATCTGAATGTGAGGATGATTCATGTTCATGTATAGTGGAGTGGAATAATGAGCCCTACACACAGGATGAGTAAGCACAGTAGTAGTAGCAGCGAAAGTCACATGCCCTGAAGCCTGTGGCCAAAGCACAGCCAGCTGAAATGAGCAAGCAGGAAATATAATGAAATATCAGGAAGAAGAAAAGTCTTCAAGTGATCCTTTAAGGACTTTCAGTACCTCTGCGCCCCTCTCTCTGGTGGTTTTGCTTAAAAAATAACTCATTTTACTTTTGCATCGCCTTACCTTGAAAGTCAGCCGCTGTATCGCCTCTGTCAAGCTGAACAAGTGTACAGCTGACAGCCCAGGGTTGTGTGGGAAAAGTGGGGGCTCGTGTCTTTTATCTTCAGACACAAGCTGTCTGTTGGTTGGTCCTACACTGGATACGTTTCTTATCAGTTTCTCTCAGGCACATCAGCTACAAAGATTGTAAAGAAATGCGTACGTGTTGGTTTAAGCCTTCACTGGGAGAGATTTCTATCATTTTCTTTAAAAAAAAAAACTAGTTATTTAAATCACATATAAGTACATTTAATTTTTTTTATTTTAGTCCAATGCATTTAACTGCTTTGGGATTCACCCCAAAATTAACATAATTCAAGATGAATTATCATAAGTAAAACGAGCAGTACCGGTGGTGGAAAGTAGCTTTATGAAATTAGGAGATAATTTTTTTTTTTAATCAAAACTGGCTTTTATACTAGTGTTTTGATTCTACAGCTGACGTTATTGGTCAGAGTTTTTTTTTCATGTGAAAGAAACATATAATGATATATTTTACATATATGCATTATGCACAATACATTATTATAGACTTAATAACCGGTTTGCATAGTGACATTATATTATAGAGACAACAGAATATATGCTAACAGGAATAATTTAGTGATGTAATGCTATATTAACATACGTTATATAAGCCAATAATAGAATACTTTTTATATTTATTGATTGGTTTAGACTTGATTTGATAATTTTTGTTCTACAAACCGGAACTATCTGTGTCATTCTTTGCAGAGTGCCCGGAGTATTTTCTCGGCGCTCCGCTCTCTCTTCCTTGTCAAATCATTCACTGTAAGTAGTTTGCGCTGATTTCTTGAAAATAATTGACTTATAATGGCCTCGTGCAGTGTGTGAGCATGAGGTGAAGATCAGCAGTGCGTCCGGTGGAGCAGAAACATCCACCATAAAAGCGGCGGTTGAAGCTCATATTAGGCTTCACATCCGATTTGAAAGCTAGCTAACCGTGTGCTGTAAATACTAACACATTTCTTTCCGTCAGTAAATATTTAATCGTCGCGACTGTGTTTTACAAAATAAATCCATAGAATCTGGTATAGAATTAGTCTTTAACTGTCGCTTGATTTTAAAATAAATATATAAAAGAATTAGTCTTCCCGCAAAGCTACATTTCAGAACCTGCACTGAGCTGGTTTAGAGTGTTTATAACTATTTTCACAGGACTTAGTACCACATGTACAATAATAAATGTACCTATCACTAATCTTTGCAGTAACTAACTAACAAAAAGCGATATACACAATTTGCTAGTACTGGATTGAACCCCCTTTGGTTTTCAGGACTGCCTTAATTCTTCTATGGGTTATGGTACATATTGACATGACAGCATGTCAATATAATGTTAATCTCCTGTTCCAGCATATCCCAAAGGAGCTTTTTTGGCCATTCAAATACAGGGAATAGCCTGGCTTAAAACTTGTCGTGCTCAAGAAACCAGTTTGAGATCATTTGAAGTTTGTGATATGGCACAATATCCTCCTGGAAGCAGCCATCAAGAGATGGGTACACAGTGGTCTTAAAAGGAATGACATGCAGGCTGTGAAGTTAAAATTGGTACCAAGAGGCCAAAGTGTGGCAAGATAATAATTCCCACACCATTACACCATCACCACCAGCCTAATGTATGGTTGGATCCATGCTTTCATCTTATTTACATAAAATTCTGACCCTACCATTCAAATGTTGCAGTAGAAATCGACACTCATCAGACCTGGCAACATTTTTACGACCATCTTCTATTGTTCAAGTTTGGTGAGACCGTGTAAATTGTTGTTTCAGTTTCTTGTTCCTGCTTCAAGGTTTGACATGCTGTGGATTAAGAAATGCTCCTCTGCATACATTGGTTGTAATGAACAGTTATTTGAGTCCCTCCTGTCAGCTCAAAGCAGTCTGGCCATTCCTCTGAACTCTGGCATCAGCATAGTATAGTCAAGCAATGAACTGCCACTCACAGCGTATTTTCTGTGTTTCAGACCATTCTCTGTGAACCGTAGAGATGGCCTTGTGGCAAAATCTCAGTAGATCAGCAGTTTCTGAAATACTTAAACCATCCCAACTGGAACCAACAGCCATGAAAAGCCACTTAAATCACCTATTCTGACACGTACTTTGAACTTCACTAAGTCGTCTTGACCTTAAAGTTGTGGCCACATGGTTGGCTGATTAAATATTTGGATTAATACAGTTGAGCAAGTGTACTTAACAAAGTGGCCTGTGAGTATATGTACATTTGTCTATGTTAATATTTGTGGGCATGTGCACCTTATCTGTAAAATACACATTTATGTAACAAATGCAAAACATGATGCATAAACAACAAAAAATGACTAGCACTGGACTTTTATTAAGGCACTGTTGAAATGTTATATGTTAGTTGAGTGCAGGATGCATGAGTTTGTGATTTGACACTTTAAATTTGTTCTATATCTGCGGTTATAAAAATGTTGTCATCATCCAATAAAGTCCTTAGTTTTCTGGAAAGCAAACACACAATAACAGAGGAATTGTGTTTGTGTATAACAGGAAGATGGTACTCCGAGCCTGTGGCTTTATCATATTTCGTCGTCTAGTCGGCCGCATCCCTCCTCCAGGCAACATCGAGTATCTCCTTCTGCAGACATCTTATGGGGAACACCACTGGACGCCACCGAAAGGTGTGTTTAAGAAACACTAGATTGATTTTGTTCTTCATTACAGAAAATTACACGTTAATGAGTCTTTTTTCCCCCCTAATAAATTCACCATAAGGTCATGTGGACCCAGGTGAGGATGACCTCACCACAGCACTGAGAGAGACCAAGGAGGAGGCGGGGCTTAGGGCAGAGCACCTGAAAGTGATAAAAGGCTTTGTTCAGGAGTTGCACTATGAGGTGCGTGGCAAACCCAAAGAGGTGCTGTACTGGTTGGCTGAGCTGAAGGACCCAGGGACTGCTGTGACTTTGTCTGATGAGCACCAGGATTACCGCTGGGCCCAGCTAGAGGAAGCCTGCACTCTGGCCCGGTACAAAGACCTGCAGGACACACTGAGAGCAGCACACAGACACCTAGAGGCATGTCAGGACAAACAATGATGTGCCACACAGGAGAAGATCATAAATGGGAAGTAACTTCCTGCTGGTATGTGGGATCGTACCATTTTCTGGAAGAGCATCTGTTTTGAAAGCACTGCTCCTAATTCCTTTAACTGAATGAGTCTGACTTTCCCTGCCTTGTCTTTCTTTAAATACTTTCCAGAACCTTATGTAAGAGAAAGACTCCCTTAAGTCACAAAAAATCAGAGAGAAAATAAAATCAACAGGATTAAATGCACAAATGATGCGTTTATGATTGTAAATAAGCTGTATTGCAGGTTTGTGCATTACAGCTGTTTTTTTTGGTCATTTTTTTTCGGTCTGTCTCCAGTTTGAATTAAATTTAGACCAACACGAAGGTTTTCTCCTACCTTTGATACTTACTCAGCTTTACATCATTTCTGAATGGATTGTTTTGTTTTTTCTCTTTTTTAAACATGCATTACAAAGATGCAAGGGGATACTGGGCTAATAATAGAACAGTCAAGTGAAACACTAATGATAAAAATAAACTGTAAACAGCAGATGCTGCCACATGGTGGGGACAAACTTTTTTTTTTCCTAAAGCTGCACATTTGATATCAAAAGCTGCAACAGATAACTAACATCATCATTGTCACGAGGAAAAGTTCTACATTAAATATAACAGTTAAAAAAAACAACATCTTTGGATCTAAATACATTTATTTGCTCAGAAGCAAATGGTGAGAATAAACATCATCCTTTTCTTGGGTACTGCTGCTCTTTTATATAAGTACAGTTAGACAGTCTGCTCTGGATTTCACGATAGAGGATTATGCCTTTGCTTGAAAAGATAAAATGAGAATTTTTGAGGAAAAGAAATGTGTGCCTTCAACTCAAGAAGCAGAATGGGAGCGCTTATGGTTTTAATTACCTGTCATCTGTCATTATGAAGACACAAACGGGCAACGGCAGTGATCATGTAAGTGGAGGTCACTGAAACACCGATACATCTACCTTAATATACTAGAAAATATAATATTTACAAAAAGGTAAGTCAGTAATAATTTTTTTATGTCTGTCAAGAGATTACAAGCTCTTCCAACAAATATTAAAAGCCGACTAATGGATTTGAAATTACCCTCACGAGTAAACATTAACAGTGAAGTATGCTACTTTCTTAGCTTCTTTTTATGCTATGGTGCTTCCTAATATCATCTCGCCATATAATCCAGAACCCCCCTCTGCAGCCACGCCTTGGATCTCTTCAGTGGCAAAACCACCAACTCACCCGAGGCATGTAGTCTTTCCAGCGTGTCCTGGATCTTCCCCGAGGTATCTTCCTGGTGTTCTATGACAAAAACACCTCACTACAAGGTGCCCTGGAGACATCCTCGTCAGAACACCGAATCACCTCAGTGAGCTGTTTTTGATAAAGAAAAGTAGCAGCTCTACTTCCAAATGACTCCTCACTCGATCTCTACGGCGGAGCCCAAACACACTTCAGATGAAACTCACATCTACTGCTTGTTTCTGTGATCTTATTCTTTTGGTCACTAGCAGGAGCTCATGGCTGTAGATAGATAGACTGGTAAATTGACAGCTTCACTTTCCAGTATAAGACCCTCATCACTACCAACACCGCAAAACCGTATTTATCTTCCACTCCACTCCTCACTCGTGAAGGAGAGCCAAGATAATTCAATTCCTTCAACAGCTCCAGGTGCAGACGCTCTTGGGAAGAGTGTTACTACTGGCAATATGAGCCATGCTTTTGTGATGGTTGTACAGGGACTGAATATGACAATGAGCCAGGTGCACCATTCTCCCTAAGCACCCGGACACTCCAAAGGACGCAGTTATATGCCCTCTCCAAGTACACTCTAACAGAGGGACCCACCGCCTCAGTACACTGGCACGACCTTTCCAGGTGAGCTGAAAAGTGTGATTCCCATGTAAATGTACCACACACAGTTACAAGAATAGTTACAGGAATCCCCGTATCACCGCCCCAGTCTGCTAATCCAGAGTCACTGCTCCAGACTTCCATAAAGACTTTGCAGAAGAGATTTAACCAACAAAGCCGCAAAACATCATGAACCTTGAGGAAGTCAGGGTGAATTCCAGCCACCCAGTGGCACAGTCATCCAGCAGTTGTTTTAGTATCTTTGTCACCTTAGCCATAGTGATGGCCCTCACCAGCTTTGTCTCTAGACTTACTTCTTTACACATATAAATTGGGGAAACCCAGGGACTGAACGGGTGATATAAGAAAGATATCAAGAGTTTAAAATCCTTGAAGATTTTTTAATCCATATCCTTGGATACAAAGTCTGGAATGAGCAGGCTCGACTGCAGGCATACTTGTGATTCGTAGAGTTTCTAAAACTAGAATAGGAGGCCAAGTCTTCAACTCTCAGGCTCCTCTCCTGTGGAACCAGCTCCCAGTTTGGATTCAGGAGACACAGAGTAGAGACACCCTCTGTACTTTTAAGATGAGGCTTAAAACTTCCCTTTTCAATAACGTTTGTAGAGGACTGGGTCAAATGATCCGAACTATCCCTTAGTAATGCTGCTTTAGCCTCAGACTAATGGGAGAGTTCCCATCATGAGAAGGGGACCTCTCCCCTACTCCCTCTTTTTAGTTAACTTTTATCCACTTTCTCAGTTTGTTTAGTCCTTGTTTTTGACTTTGGTCTCTCACTATTCCCCCCCATTTCACCTCATACACAAACAGTCAAAGCAGATGTCTGCCCCTCCCTGCGCCTGGTTCTGCTGGAGATCTCATCCTGTGAAAGGGGAGTTTTTCTTCCCCACTTTTGCCAAGTGCTGCTCATAGAGAATTGTGTTTGTGTTTTCTCTCTCTAAAAGTGGAGGATCTTTACGTTACTATGAAAATCCCTTGAGATATCTATTATTGTAAACGAAGAAGGGAAAGAGAAATCCTACAGTAACACATCTCGCTAAAAACTATACCCTTGTGACTGTGGGTACACCACAAACCTTATTGTAAATGTATGTTGGAACTACGTGTAACTAATGAGAATGAAATCCATTTTTACCAATCTGATTATTATACATTGATGTCAAGCACAAAGGCAAAAATCCTGTAGAGCTCAACACTCAAAAATTGACTAGTATCATTTACTTAGTTTGAGAGTAATCAAGGGTCAGTGGCTCAAATAAGGTGAAAATCATTTCAATAGGCTTTGATGACATACTGTTTTATTTCTTATGATTTTCAAACTGAACCACCATTACTATCCATTTGCATATCACTCCTAATTTTAGTCAAAAATCAAACTTGCTGTGTTGTCCATTTTTCATGACATGTGGGCTTAGCAGCAACAGATATCTGAGCCATATTGCAAACAACCCAACAACGTCATGTTCTTTTCTTCTTCTTTTTAAACAATATAAACTGAGTGACATTTGCATCCTCACAAACAAAATGATGGGAAAAAATGAAATAAGATGAAACCGACAAGGACAGCATAAACATCATTAGGTGTGGACAGACTGTGGTACCATTGTGGACAGCTCAATCAGCAGAGTGTGGGACCATGCGAATGTCTCAGGATGACCTCACTGTGTCCACCCACACTTTAGAAAATACACGCTTGTGATTCACACTCACACACAGAGAATAAACAAAGTAAATGATTTCATTCAGTTTTCTATGCAACTGTGTGTGGAATAACATGTTAAAATTATGGATTGCGACTCATTTTATTTAATCTTTTCTCTTTTTTTTTTGTTTCTTCATCTTTAGCATTAATAGTCCGCGGCCTTCTTAGCATTTCTCCACCTCCCCTCAGGATAAAAAGAAGGCATATGTTTTATTTAAGAAGTGGAGAGTTCTAATACTGAAGCTGATTAAATTCATCATCAAATTGCTACCAAAAGGGCTACACTAGATCTATTTATTTCTCTAATGTGAATTCAGATTTCTAAATTTTGGGTGAAAGGCAAAAACCTGGCTTTAAAGCATTCGTGACATTTTAGGAAATGCAATTATTTGTTTTTTGTGCTGAGACTGAGACTAGAAGATTGATATAACAGTTCATTTTTACATTTCTTGAAGACGTTTTGTTAAATAAACAAAAGTAATAATTAATAACCTTTGATTACAATCCAAAATTTAGACATTCTCATATCAATCTTCAGCATCAGAAAGCATGCATTTCCCAAAATGTTCAGCTCTCTCTTTAGCAGACACACGTGAGATTTGTACTTTCCATTGTTTACTACTGAGCTTACTTCTTTCTACGTGGTGATGGGCAAAAATGGTGATCACAACAAGAAGAAGTCCAGAATCTCAATCATATTTCCACCTCCTCTCGTGGCTTGGTATCAAATCCATTCAGTCTTTTAGGAGTGAATTTTGTTTGTCGCCGTTCTCAACAGAATCCAGTCTTTGCAAACCTCCAAAGCACAAGGCCAGGAGACAATACTTCACTCCTTTGGCTTCACATTAAAATCCAAAAAGGTATGTCTCTAAGAGTCTACTCACTCTGCATTAAATCCATTACATGCATCCATTCGTCCATAGTCTTTAAAATGAATGAATGTGGGGCTGGACTTGTTTTCCTTGGCATAAAATCCATCCATTGGAGTCACAACCCCAGTGCTCCACTGTGTTCAATGAGCAACAGGTTCTTAAAACATAGCTCAAAATGCATGGTTTACTCGATGCGGCACAATGATGCTGTTCAGTGTGTTCAAAAGCTTAATACTCAAAATGTGTGTGTTTTTTTTTCCTTTTTTCTTAAATCAGTCAAATCCTCAGATGATTCACGCCTCCAGAAACAGCACTTGAACAAAGTGCCTACAAACTGAATGGTTCATCAACTGGACTACTGAAACAAAGGAAAACCCTGACATCATAGTCAATATGAATAGTAAATGTAAATATACACACACGGGGATAACAGGCAATCAGTGTCGTATTCATTCAAATGCAAATGTGTATCTAAGCTGCATGTTGATCTTTGTCCCTGTCGATAAACAAGACTCTGGATGTGGTGTAGCACAGTAACAACATCCAGTTTTCACTAAGTTGCATTGAAGCATCAATTGGGAGTCACAGGGCACAAAAAAAGAGAAGATTTTCACATCTATCGCAACGTAATGCGAGCATTGCATTGGGGAGAAAGAGATGCATTTTGATTTTCTTTACCCTACCGAAAACAGAATGACTTAACGGACGCCAGTCTGCACTAACAGTAACATTCAGTGATGTGTAAATGCTTGAAGAGGGATCGGAAACTTTCAGAGCAATCTTAGCCCTCTAATGAGACCAAGTGAGATATAAAGAAAAGGAGGCGGAGGTGAGGAGCAGGTGTGTCTTAAGATTCTCTTTGCTTTTTCTCTCTCAGTGAAAGTCTGAGGCCCTGA